ACATAGACAACAACGAACTGAATATTCCACTAGCTAAAAATTCTGTACACAGGTAAAAACGAACTCACCATTCCACTAGCTGTACATTCTGTACAAAGACAAAAACGAACTGAACATTCCACTAGCTAAACATATTGTACACAGGTAAAAACGAACTTAACATTCCACTAGCTTAACATTATGTACACACGCAACAACGAACTGAACATTCCACTAGATAAACATTCTGTACACAGAAAACAACGAACTGAACATTCAACAAGCTAAACATTCTGTACACAGACAACAACGAACTGAACATTCCACTAGCTAAACATTCTGTACACAGACAGCAACGAACTGAACATTCCACTAGCTAAACATACTGTACACAGACAACAACGAACTGAACGTTCCACTAGTTAAACATTCTGTACATAGACAACAACGAACTGAACATTCCACTAGTTAAACATTCTTTACACAGACAACAACGAACTGAACATTCCACTAGCTAAACATACTGTACACAGACAACAACGAACTGAACATTCCACTAGCTAAAAATTCTGTACACAGGTAAAAACGAACTCAACATTCCACTAGCTAAACATTCTGTACACAGACAACAACGAACTGAACACTCACTAGCTAAACATACTGTACACAGACAACAACGAACTGAACATTCCACTAGCTAAACATACTGTACACAGACAACAACGAACTGAACATTCCACCAGCTAAACATTCTGTACACAGACAACAACGAACTGAACATTCCACTAGTTAAACATACTGTACACAGACAACAACGAACTGAACATTCCACAAGCTAAACATTCTGTACACAGTCAAAAACGAACTGAACATTCCACTAGCTAAACATACTGTACACAGGTAACAACGAACTTAACATTCCACTATCTAAACATTCTGTACACAGGCAACAACGAACTGAACATTCCCTTAGCTAAACATTCTGTACACACGCAACAACGAACTGAACATTCCACTAGCTAAACATTCTGTGCACAGAAAACAACGAACTGAACATTCCACTAGCTAAACATTCTGTACACAGACAACAACGAACTGAACATTCCACTAGCTAAACATTCTGTTCACAGACAGCAACGAACTGAACATTCCAATATCTAAACATTCTACACACACACAACAACGAAATGAACATTCCACTATCTTAAAAATTCTGTATACAGACAACAACGAACTGAAAATTTCACTACCTACACATGCTGTACACAGAGGACAACGAACTGAACATTCCACTAGCTAATCATTCTGTACACAGACAACAACGAACTGAACGTTCCACTAGCTGTACATTCTGTACAAAGACAAAAACGAACTGAACATTCCACTAGCTAAACATATTGTACACAGGTAAAAACGAACTTAACATTCCACTAGCTTAACATTATGTACACACGCAACAACGAACTGAACATTCCACTAGATAAACATTCTGTACACAGAAAACAACGAACTGAACATTCAACAAGCTAAACATTCTGTACACAGACAACAACGAACTGAACATTCCACTAGCTAAACATTCTGTACACAGACAGCAACGAACTGAACATTCCACTAGCTAAACATACTGTACACAGACAACAACGAACTGAACGTTCCACTAGTTAAACATTCTGTACATAGACAACAACGAACTGAACATTCCACTAGTTAAACATTCTTTACACAGACAACAACGAACTGAACATTCCACTAGCTAAACATACTGTACACAGACAACAACGAACTGAACATTCCACTAGCTAAAAATTCTGTACACAGGTAAAAACGAACTCAACATTCCACTAGCTAAACATTCTGTACACAGACAACAACGAACTGAACATTCCACTAGCTAAACATACTGTACACAGACAACAACGAACTGAACATTCCACTAGCTAAACATACTGTACACAGACAACAACGAACTGAACATTCCATTAGCTAAACATACTGTACACAGACAACAATGAACTGAACATTCCACCAGCTAAACATTCTGTACACAGACAACAACGAACTGAACATTCCACTAGTTAAACATTCTGTACATAGACAACAACGAACTGAATATTCCACTAGTTAAACATTCTGTACACAGACAACAACGAACTGAATATTCCACTAGTTAAACATTCTGTACACAGACAACAACGAACTGAACGTTCCACTAGTTAAACATTCTGTACACAGACAACAACGAACTGAACATTCCACTAGTTAAACATTCTGTGCATAGACAACAACGAACTGAATATTCCACTAGTTAAACATTCTGTACACAGGTAACAACGAACTGAACGTTCCACTAGTTAAACATTCTGTACACAGACAACAACGAACTGAATATTCCACAAGCTAAACATTCTGTACACAGACAAAAACGAACTGAACATTCCACTAGCTAAACATACTGTACACAGGTAACAACGAACTGAACATTCCACTAGCCAAACATTCTGTACATAGACCATTACGAACTGAACATTCCACCAGCTAAACATTCTGTACTCAGACAACAACGAACTCAACATTCCACTAGCTAAACATACTGTACACAGACAACAACGAACTGAATATTCTACTAGCTAAACATACTGTACATAGGTAACAACGAACTGAACATTCCACTAGCTAAACATACTGTACACAGGTAACAACGAACTGAACATTCCACTAGCTAAACATACTGTACACAGGTAACTACGAACTGAACATTCCACTAGCTAAACATATTGTACACAGGCAACAACGTACAGCCATGGGCGTCTATTTCTCCAGAACTCTCCCACATAGAAAATGTCTCGGATGAGATTGAGATTCCATATCTCGAGTATCGTTGAGTTGAAATGAACCGTCGTTTATCCGAATGCTTGGGTAAAGGCAAGTAACTCGGTTTGTTTGCGTCCTCCTGCTTCGGGTTTGGCTAACTCAGTAAAAAAGCGGACATATATTCCGGACCTGTTCGTTGTAAACCGATCTCACGGGGCATAAGGTGGATTAACCTTGTGTACATTGGCTCACACACAGGGCACATCACACCATGTACCCCTCGAGGTCGGTTGACCACTTGTAATGTGCCGCCGCTGCCTTGCCAATATCTACTAAAATGGTTGTAACATCCGATATTGACATTGTTAACTCTTAGAGGGCGAGACCCGTTAAGATCCGGGGTAGAATAGGTCTTCAGCAACCAATGTTTGCCGTAAAAGGCGACTATGTTTGTCGTAAGAGGCGACTAACGGGATCGGGTGGTCAGGCTCGCTGACTTGGTTGATACCTGTCATCGATCTCAATTGCGTGGATCGATGCTCATGATGTCAATCACTGGATTGTCTGGTCAAGACTCGATTATTTTACAGACCGCCGTCATATAGCTGGAATATTGCTGAGTGCGGCGTTAAACAACAAACAAACAAAACAAACAAACTTAGAGGGCGAGCCTCCATGTCTAGTGTTACCATTATGGGTTCTGGCAATGACATTGTTAGGATAAAACATTGATCAGACGAGTGACCAAATATTATTTTGTATATTTTCAGTAACAACATTCACACCACTTTATATGAAGCACAGTTACTTTTTCCGCTAGTATATATCTGTTTCCTTAATAGAATCGCTTTCGCTATTCATTTTATCGGCTGTTAAGCAAGTGCGTGCCATGTAAAGCAATGGTTTCAGAAGCATTGTATAAAACACACTAAGTCTTAAAAAAGCCAGATTCATTTTTCCTCCTTCTTATCACGAGATATTGGGTAATGATTTGAAAATAGGGAAGAACTGAACGTATAATGTACAATCGAATATAGAAAAGGTTATGTCTCTGTTACTGAACACGACCGATCATACTCATACATTTCCGAGTATGTCTCATATTTTGCCTAAGGAAACAAGGCCTGGTTTCTTGTAATTGAGGGTCTGGTGAGGTGAAATGGGGTTTAAAATAACGTCGCGTCCAAGATTATTGCACTTATATAGCCACGTTCATGCACGCGTGTTTGTGTGTGTGGCTGCTTGTACTAGTCGGGACTGATGCCGATTTACAGTGCTATCCCACTGAGATACCATGCCGCAGTTTTACATGAATGCCCTACTAAGGCACAGTATACTGACTCCGAGCCGACCAGTCCTTGTTTTAGCCCCTTAATGCCTAGCGCCAGACATGGTTACAACAAGCGCCATATTTTAACGTATTTTGATAGGACGCAGCAAAGCCCAAATAAAATGCTACTAGCAAACAATAAGATCAATTATACATTTAATTTTCTATCTGCGTACAGGCATCAAATTGCAAGGATGTCATAGTTACTTCACTGTTCACGGTTCTGTGTTGGATCGAAGCTTGTTCTTGTCGATGGTTAGGTTTGACAGTGACAGAGGGTTGGGGTTAGGTTGAGGGGTAGCCACACTGTAGTCGGGGTCGTCCTGGTTGTGGATATCGGGACTACAGCTCTTTGTGGAAAGTTGGCGAGGGGGAGCCGTCTCCCGATGTTGATGGGGTAAGGAGTAGATGGGCTCAAGGGCGTCATTCCCTTCAGGGGTAAACCGTGGCGAAGGTGAAACAAAGGCCGGGTTGCTTTGTCTCCTGGGAAAAAATAGAATTTATAGATGGTTCTGTGATAACAATTTAATAATATACGTATATTGATAATTATAAATAGATTTGTCTGTATGCATATCATGAATTTTGACATGTCGTTTCGGAAAATATAGATTTGTCTTGCCACGAATGTCTTTCATATTGACAAACGTCCATGCAATAAAATGTTTTGGTGTGGTACCAACCTTTTCATATACAAGATGAAGATAATACCAAAAGTCACAAATCCAACCAAAAACCCAACAGGTAGGAAAACAAACTGTGATCCATCTGAAACATAATTTGACAAATGTGTACATTTAAAAGGAGGTATATATATAACTTGGCACACCAGTTGGTAGACGAACTTTACCACAGACGTGTCCGAAAGTATACAATATTATTCTATTAAACGAATCAAACAGATACATGCACTTACCAAGAACGGCGTTACCTGGTGCCACTGATTGCGTCCTATCGGTGTTTGAAGCTGCTTCTGTCGGTGAAAAAAAAAGTCGATAATCGATAATAATATCATTTAACCAAGCAGTTAAGCACTTCCTTTTCAAACGTGATATGACGAAGTGTGAATTATAATTCGTGTCATTATTATTCTCGTGTCATTATTATTGACAGAGGGTTGGGGTTAGGTTTGAGGATAGTACGAGTATCTGTACTTTACTGAGAAAGTGTTATCCCAAACATAACATTTGTTACATTTGACTTCTTTCTAAATGGCATTGTGTTTTCGTATTATTATTCTCCTGCTGATCCAGAATATTTAGATTATCGGAATGCTGACGTTTCCCAAGAAAACACACTGGTGTGTTTGTTATACAGAATTTTAGATTTTTAGAAGAAGAATAGTTGTCTAATATCAGTCTCATAGACATGACATAGATGAGGATATTATCATGATTACCTTACAATAGAATAATCAATAATGTGTCAAGGCGCTGAACCATTTACACTCTATCATTTACACTTCATACGAATAAACTTTCCTTTTTCCATTGGTGAAGATAATATAGCGTTAGATGTTGGAGTGATTGTGTTGTGTTACAACAACCATTTGAAAGGTGGAAGTAGCAAAGGGCATACCTGTACACGCGACTGTGACGTCAGATCCGTTGTGTCCTGTGGAAAAAGAAGTAATTAATCAATTGGCTTCAACGATATACATTTGAACTATTATTACTATTTTGTAATTAATGGAACCTTGTGAAAATTATTACCTTCCACTCTCATCCATATCTTGTCAGGGAGATAGTCTCGGATAACATCCACCTGTAAACTCCACTCTGATTGGCTGATGTTAATCTCCTCCATGAAGTGGACTGCCAGGTCGCCACCATGGATTGTGTACACTGTACGTGTCTTGTCCCTGATGGACAGTGTGGTCACGTGGCTGTTGCCCAGTCTGACGTCCAGCAGGGTGACGCGGCTCGCAGCTCCACTGACTGTACAGGTGCAGGTGCTTGTTACCAGAGATGTCATCATCAGTCGGTTGCTGCTGATGTAGACCTCCTTGCCTGTTTCGGTCTTGTTGTCACACAACATGACACTGGCAACTTGCTCTGAAATCATGTGTTCTACTTGTCTGAGAAAGTAAATCACTTATAATTCGATTTGTCGATGTTATACTATTTATACAAATAACAGGAAATATGTTGTCATTATTATCCATTCTGTATGCCGGCACACATCTAAAATCATTTCCTAGTAACCAATGATAAAATTGAATACACAATGCCATTTACAAAGTGGTTACATGTAACAAATGTTATATCTGGGATAACACTTTCTTAGTAAAGTGCAGATTCTCATACTTTTTTGGATTGAGTCCCGTCCGGGATTCGAACCCACACTTGCCAGAGTCAGGCACCTAATCGCCAGCACACAAAGTCAGCGATCTAAGTGTTGGTTCGAATAGGGATATCCTGGATTCGACCCCACTATCATGCTTCTGGTACCCCTAAGGGACAAAACCATGCACAGAGATTGGCAGTCTTTAGGCGACTGGGTCATTCGTTCACCACCACCCCACACGGTCCCATACTGGCCTCACCACCACCACCCACGGTCCCATACTGGCCTCAGAACTGTCTATGCTATAACTGTGGTGAGCCCATCCAACACACATCATCACTGACCTACTACCATATAGATTGTGCTGTGCTGTGGGACACTGCTGGGAGCGATCCAGTGCACGTCACCAGGTCATTTAGTAGAAGGTAGAAAGTAGAAGGTGTTTGTGCTATATGCTGAATATATGTTCCACAATGATAGGAGTTATCAAAACCACGACCATGCCATGTTCACGAATCACATCATTGGTTACCGGGGCGGTCGGGTAGCCTAGTGGTGAAAGCGTTCGCTCGTCACGCCGAAGACCCGGGTTCGATTCCTGACATGGATACAATGTATGAAGCCCATTTCTGGTGTCCCCCGCCGTGATATTGCTGGAATATTGCTAAAAGCGGCGTAAAACCATACTCACTCATTGGTTTACCGATGCAAACTGCACAGCCTTGCAATCACACTAAGTCATCAGCAACCCAACAGAGTTAGGCACGATCAGTCCTGCACATTGCTACCATGTCCTGTGTGTCCTGTAGTCCTGTATTATCACACCACGATGACTACTGTTACAAACACTTTGTCATTCTTGCATTTTCTTACGTTAAATGATTCATTTGTGACGAAAACATGCCAGAATGGTATCTGCGTGGATTTCCGCGAATACGATGTGTTTGTGGTCATGCAACTTGCAGTTATCACTGCATGTCATCACTATGTTAACTGTTATCACTCCTCTTGCATCACTTACATTTTTATAACTACATGTATTTAACAACAAACTATCTTCTTTTTTGATTATCTGGCGAAACAGATTCATTAGGGGTAAAAGGCAAAATAGGTGTAAAAAGTATATGAATACATCACTGAAAATCAGTGATGACGCCAAACGTTCGCCAAAAGGTAAAGCATGTCATGCCCTATCGGCAGCCCCGCCATTCACACAATTTGCATCGAAAACATGGATGTGATAAGGGTTATATAACAAAGTGGAGCTCCTGCATTTGAGAACGCAATTGGCGCTGTGATGTACAATCTGGAGATAAATATAATCTTAAGATTATTCTCATATGCCACGATTGTACAAATATTGTCACAATTGTTAGTGTTTACATGGATGGGTACACTCCTTTGAAATGAGAAGGCTTTGTGAAAAATGTTAAGACAGCTGTGGAGTAGTGATTCCGGTCACACAATAGATTACTCAGAAAGAAATGTTCCCAGCTTCCAGTGATGGAATCACAGTGTTTCATTTGTTCATAACACATTAACCACGTGGTGATTCCAAGTTGGAATAGATCCCAGTTACCTTGTGGAATGAGGTTAGGGTGGGCAAGGTGAATCTAGCCTTAAACAAACAAACACCTTTTGGAGTGTCATCGCATGTTTTAGGTCAGTCTGTTATTACGTGTACAATATGAATGCAGAAAGGAATGAAACAGAATATATAATACAAATGTGAGTGGTGAGGGTAGGACTACAACGTCTACAACGTGGAGCATACTCTTAACATTAAAACTTGCACTCAACATTTCCATAGCTATATCACGCTCTTTACCTTTAACACACTGATGCAATACAGCCAGATGTGACGGGCGTTTCTTTCTCACTCCTACTGGGAGGTCCTTCAGACCATAGATAGAGGAACTCGTGTCACTCTCCAGGATACAGTACCTCTTCTGACTACACTCCTCTAGAACCTCCATGATCGCGGTCTGATAAGCCCTCTTCTGATGCACATCCGATGTCATTAACAAACATTCCCCAACGTCATAATATTCATCATTGAATTTTTCTGCACAGGATCTGTAGTCTGGACCCTTGTCGTCACCGTCCTTACTTGCATGAGCTCTTTGCAAGAAGTGTTTGACCAACACTGATTCATTTCTGGGACACTTGATCTCTTTACTCTTTACCTGATTGTAACAAACGCTAATAACGTCCCCTTCTATTTCTGCCACATCCACTTTGTCACAAATGATGGAACCTGAAGTATAACAGAAAAAAGTGCATGAGATCATTTCACAAAGATTATTGATTTGTATTTTGAATTCAGGAACAGGAAAGTTCAGGACAACGTCAGTGTGAAGAGTGAGTACACATTCAACGTCGCATTGGCAAGAAGACACGCAGTTTTCAATGTGCAGAAATAAAGAAAGCTTATGACAAATACGGCTGACCTAAACAAGTATTAGGCACCTTTCAGAGGACAAAACTGTATACCTTGAAGCAGTGGCATATGATATATTCTATCCCTGACAAGAAACTCACCCAGACATTAACTCCTCCACTCTGCATATAAGATTGACAGGAAATAGAGAAAATGAACATTTCCTGTTATTGATCGCAGGGAAAATATTTACTAAAATTCTGATTTCAGTGTCTTATATTTCTCTTTAACATGCATCAAATATCTTAATAGATAATGTATCGCCAGTGAAAATAGTTTTGTTTGAAGCCTTATTCAACACTTCATCAAAAACATCTGAAGATAGTCAGGGAGGAGGTCTGGGATTATGTTTTGAGACCAGATATTTTTAAGCTATAGATGCAATACCAGATATTATTTATATATAAAGCTATGAGCCCAAATATATGTATATATATACCCCAACCCCAACCCCAACCCCAACCCCAACCCCAACCTCTGCAGAATATCAATTTGTCAGGTCTCTAATGGGTCGTGGTCGTTTATAACAGAATATGCATTGCCAGTGAATTTAATTTTATTTCAAAGTTCATTTTAAACTTCATTCAAGTAATATGTATTCAGTTGCACCTTTCGTTCCAAACAACTATATAATGCTGCTCAGTTCAGGCCATTCTGATGATCTGAGTATATTGCTTTAAAGTAATATTATCATACTAGTGCCTATCACGAACAGCTGGAAATATTTGAATTTCCTAATGTTTATTATCAAACTGTGTATACAATGTGCACTGCCAACTGTTGGTCAATATATTCATGATTATGAGCTGCAGTTTAGGTATTACCGTTACTTGTCAGTTGACATCATGATCAAACACTGAGTTATGCTATGTTATCACCCAGAACGATTTTGATGGCAGCATGCATGTTGATTTTGGCATTATACACTCCCACTTTCCTCTTCTAGTCAAATCTTCTTTCTTTTCCTTAAATACAGATACATTTTCGAAGTCAACGTACGGAGTTCTTGTCCTTCTTAACAGATTCCGCAACGCAACCTCGTGTGGCACTGTTTGCCAATAGTTAGTCATTAAAATTCTCTGTATGCTTGTCACAGACTGTGTCAAGCATATACTTACTAATATCAAGCAATTTGATATCCTTTTATACCGGACAATGGCCTCAAAATAACAGTGAAAGATGGTTTTGAGATGGGCGTCTCTGGCTCGTTTCCCTTTGTGTCTCCCCCTGGATGATCATTTTAGACTCTGTTGCCGACGTCCCCGCAGCCGGCGGATCGCCTGATCACAGATGGGGAATTGTCTGCTCAGATGAGTAGTATGCCAGCCAACATGGCACAGAGCGTGGCCGAACTCAAGTCTATGTTAGCTTCATTCGGCCAAGCTTGGTACGCAGAAATCGAAATCCCCGCGCTCTTAGTCGTCTAAGCCCGACATGCATCACTCTTGTGAGGGGAAATCGAAGTCCTCTGGGGACGGTTCTTGGTTCACGTCGGCTGTCTCGAGGATCTGTTATGGTCCACTCCTATTGCGGATCTTCGGCAGGTAATAACTTCCACAACGACTAACGGGATCGGGTGGTCAGGCTCGCTGACTTGGTTAAAGCATGTAATCGATCCCAATTTGCTGGATCGATGCTCATGATATCAATCACTGGATTGTCTGGTCCAGCCACGATTATATACAGAACACCGTGATATAGCTGGAATATTGCTGAGTGCGGCGCAAAACAACAAACCAAACAAACAAAAAAGCCTATGTTTTCTGCCTCTCCGTCGAAGTCTTCATCGTCCAATGTTATTGTCCCTCTTTGCGGAGGTGCCTACAATACAGCTGAAGACAGAAGTGTCCCCTGGTTGTTCTAGAGCGCTCGGACAACCCGGTGTCTCTGCCAGTCGAACTCTGCTGGGGAATCTTCATGTTCGGGCCACCCGTGAAGTGGACAAGAGGATTGCCCTTGACACGATGGGTGACAAGCCTGTCCGTGTCTACTTCACCTCTATGCATTGAATGACCACCACACGGGGGTGTCCCATTTGCCTAGTGTTGTTGACATTTATGCAGATTTCAGCACTCTTTATGCTCCTTGGTTCCGGTTTACCGTATTCAGGAAGCCGACATTTACCTCGCCATGCCCTTGAGATTAGATCGTACCTGGGATGGTTCTCGGTCAGTGTCCGGGAGATCCTTCCCACCACTAGAGTCTGAAGAAATTACCCGACCCGTCCGAGGGGTCCCATCCAGCCTTGTTTCTACATTCAGTCCTTAATTCTAGACCCGTGAAGATTCCGGGGTAGAATAGGTCTTCAGCAACCCATGCTTGCCGTAAAAGGTGACTATGCTTGTCGAACAAGGCGACTAACGGGATCGGGTGGTCAGGCACGCTGACTTGGTTGACGCATGTCATCGATCCCAATTGCGTAGATCGATGCTCATGATATTAATCACTGGATTGTCTGGTCCAGACTCGATTATTTACAGACCGCTGTCATATAGCTGGAATATTGCTGAGTGCGGCGTTAAACAACAAACCAAACCAAATCAACCTTAGTTCTATAGCCCTCAGTTACTTTGACCTCCTTGATTTTTTGCCCCATTCGGTGTCAGGGTCTCAATGCGGCCGGCTCTATAGTCAATGTTCAGATGGCGTAGGCACTGTGATGCAGCCTCTGACGTCTTCAGCCTTGAAGGAGGTGAAATGGGGTTTAACGTATCGTTCAAGATTGTAGCATTTATATAGCGACGTGCATGTGCGTGCGTTCGTGCGTTCGTGGCTGTTTGTACTAGTCCAGACTTGTGTCGTTCTTACAGTGCTAGCCCACTGAGATACCATGCCGCACTTTAACATGAATACCCAACTCAGACACAGAGACGGCCAGTCCTTGTTTTAAATCCTTTATACCGAGCTCCAGGCAGGGAAACTGATTTCAGCCATTTGACATGGACAATTAAATACTTCCTGCAAATGTTATGATATTTTATCTCTCTGTAATTGACTTAAAATGGCTAGCAAAACTGATATTCGCAACAAAATTGCAATCAGCTTTTTCACTTTACTTGACTTTTGAGAAAAAGCAAGAGAATAAGGCTAGATGAGAAAAGTGAGGAAAGTACTTTTTGTTATCGAAGACAATGATACAATTGTTAAATATAAATTATAAATTAGATAACCCCTATATTAATGCAAATGCGACCTGGAGAACGTTTTAGTTACGCTTCTGTTACTCAACGGCGTTAGTTTGGGAGGAGAAGTGCAATGACGGCACTGGACGCCAGACCTCTCCCCTGTGTACAACATGACCGGAGTGAGATAGTTCGACGTCTACGACAGGATCAGAACCAGCTGGCAAAGCTCAGTGGGACAATCATAGGTCGTCATTTGCAACAACAACCCCCAGGCTGTGTTCTATCATCTTGTATATTCAGTGGTTCGCCGCTGCCTGTATTAACGCAATTTGGGTCTTACCTGATATTGTCACCTGGGTTTTGTCAATGACATTGTATGATACAACATTGATCAGAGTGAGTGAGTGAGTTGAGTTTAACGCCGCTTTTAATAGTATTCCAGATATATCACGGCGTGTCAGCTTAGTGTGGGAGGAAAGCCAGAAGTGATGCATGTCTCAGACGTTTACCACTTCGGTGAAACCAACGAGCACGGGTATGGTGCTGACAAACCTAGAAACATAATCGGGGCGAACGAGGATTCGAACCCACAATCATAGAACTGAATTTGCTTTTTAAGGAGGTGGTTATATATGGATTGTTTAATGAGTCAGTTAACATTAGAATTAAAACTGTTTTAAAAATTATTTCAGTTATGTCTCAGTGATTACTAACATGAAGTCAACAATGTATCAATTAAACTGTAAATTACAATAAAGATAAGTGACATGTTTCAAATGATTCATGGTATTGAAGGACCAGAGTAAAGCAGTCATTTCTATAGTATCACTACATCCTTCGCATTTGAGTTCAGAGGTTAATACAGCACGGTTAATAATTTGACTCATCATACCACCCTCTTCTACAGTTTATTCCTTGTTGGTTGTCCAAACAAACTAATATATTACCATCAAGAACAATTTCAAAAACAGCATGCGTGTAGTTTATGTGTATCATCAGTCAGTCAACATCGGAATTGACAAAGTAGGATATAAATAATCAAAGAAACCGTAACCAGAAATTATATTCAACAGCTCTTCTCATACAAATAATGTTAAAGGCGACAGGAAGGATCGGGTGGCTGGCCTCGGCTGATTGCATGCATCGGATCCCGAAGGCTTCTCTCTTAATGTCAGTCACTGGTTTGTCTGATTAATTACAGGACGCCATGATGTAGCTTGTTGTATATGTTGTCGAGGTCTACGACTGCTGAACTGTGTCCAATGTTTAGAACTCAGATGAAACCCACGACCACAGGTAAATTAGTGTCAAACAGAGGACTACAATCCGGGCATATGCGGGATTCGAACATTCCATCATCGGATCCTGGCACGACTCGGGGACGCAACAATCAAATGTGTGTTTTGCGTCTGTCGAGGAATTTACTGACCACAGGTTGACAGACTGAGCAAAGTAAAGTTTTCAAAACAAGGATTGTTTCCTCTGCATCGACAAC